GGTGCGCGCGGCGCGGCGCAAGCGGCCGGGCAGTGGTGGTGGCCGCGTGCGTGGCGCGAGGAGGGGGTGCGGGTGTCCGAGTCGCGCAGGAGATAAGCATTGTCCGTGAACTGCGGCCAGACAGGCCGGCGGTTCCGAGGTGGTTCGTTCTCAGGGACGCCATCGGCGCAGCCGCAGACCCCAGACGAACCCAGCAAAACTTATAACGTACTTGTGTACCGCAATTTCATCGTGCCTCGTCAAAACACAGCGGGGTTCTCACTGGGTGCGCAAGGAGTGACCGGGCGTGGTGGGTGCGATGCCGAGTGGCTGTCTCACTCATGAAGGGCAAGGGCTTGCCGTATCGGACGACTGCTCATGAGATAGTTCGCTCCGTGCAAGGAAGCACGCAAAAGCCAACTGCTGGACAACACCCACCATCCATCCCGAGAGACTGCGGAAGGTCACTTCTTCGCCCGAGAATCGACGTACGATATCCTCTTGACACGCGCAGCGACGTCGACAAGGACCTGGCGCGCCAGATCACGAGGCCGCGCCTGGCCAAACCTCGGCGCATAGGCTGGCTCTGAAGAGCAGGCCGGCTGCACAGCAGCTATGTCGTGGAACGAGCCTCTCGCGGGCCATCCCCGCTATGAGTTTGTCCGCAACCTGGGACGGGGGTCGCATTCGCTGGTGCAGCTGTGCCGAGACCGCGCCACCGGCGAGGCCGTGGCAGTGAAGCTCATCCAGCGCGGTGAGCACGCAACCAGGCAGCGACCAACACCACGCATATTCAGCCAGCCCCCTCACATGCGCACGGGCGCATTCGCTCTGGTGGCCGCTGCCCACAACGCCCACCTCTGCCCAACCACCAGCGCGCCCGCCCGCCCGCCCGGCGCCACGCGCCCCCTCTTCCCCCTCGCCGCCGCCCGCTCAACTTCCCGTGCCGGCCCCGTCCTCCCTCACAGGCTGGGACCCCGGGCAGTCTAAATATGTCGAGCGGGAGCTGCTCAACCATCAGGAGCTCTCGCGCACCCGCCACCCCCACATTGTTGAGTTTAGGGAGGTCTTCCTGACCTCCAGCCACCTGGCGGTGGTCATGGAGTACGTGGAAGGGGAGAACCTGCAGCAGTTCCTCGCAAACACGGGCGGCAGGTGCGGCCGGCCGCGCCGCGCGGGCGCCGCTGCGTGGAGGCGCCGGGACCCCCGCGCCCGGCCGGCTCCACTCGTGCCGCCGCGGGCCCAGCGGAGGGCGGCGGCGCCGCGTCACCTCGCGCGGCGCCCTCTGCGGCCCCGTACACTCCCCTCAAACCAACCCCACCACTCCCCTGCGCCCCGCGTCGGCAGGGCGTCCGAGGCGCTGGCGCGCTTCCTGTTCCAGCAGCTCGTGCTGGCCCTCGACTTTTGCCACCGCAAGGGCAAGGTCTCGCGCGACGTCAAGCTGGCCAACACGCTGCTGGCGCTGGCGCAGAACCAGCTGCCGCTGGTGAAGCTCTGCGACTTTGGGTTCTCCAAGGATACCATGCTGCACAGCGCCCCCGCGAGCCAGGTGCGTCGCGCGCTTCGCGACTGCGCCAGCGCCTGCGCCCCGCGGGCCCCGCCGCTCTGCTGGGGCGCAGGGGGCCCTCGCCCTGAGCGCCCCGGCCGCGCGGCTCGCCGCCTTGCGGGTCCAAAAGCAGCCTGGACCCTAGACACCAGCACAGCTTGTCCGCCGTCGGCGCGCCGATTTGCTAGCTAGGAGCACCGCGCGCGACCTCTGCCCGCCTGTTTGCTCCGAAAATGTCTCGCCAGGTCGGCACCGCGCTGTTTGTGGCTCCCGAGGTGATGCACAACTTCTCCAACCAGCCCTATGACGGGGCCCTAGCTGATGTCTGGTCCTGCGGCATCGTCCTCTTCATCCTGCTGTTCGGCCGCCACCCCTTCCTGCGGCCAGAAGATGTGGGGGCGCCGGACCAGCAGCAGATGCTGACGCTCTTCACCCGCACCGCGCGGGAGGAGTTCTCGATGCTGCCTCACGAGGCGGGGGCGATCAGCCCCGAGTGCGCGGACCTGCTGCTGAGGATGCTGCAGACGCGGCCGGCGCTGAGGTGGGGGGTGTGGGGGGCCGGTGGGAGTGGTGTGTGTGTGCGTGTGTGTGTGTGTGTGTGTGTGTGTGTGTGTGTGTGTGTGAGTGCGTGTGTGCATACGCGCATGCACACGTGCATGTGTGAGCCGGGTTTGGCAGCTCTGTCGGCGCTCCTGAGAGGCGGGAAGCAAGACTACATCAACAATCACACACAGGCAGTGCAAGGGCACGCACTCAGACACACACACACACACACACATACACACACACACACACACACACACACACACACACACACGTGTACGCACGCACGCGCACGCGCACGCACGTCATTCGAGGGTCGCGCACTGTCTCACCCAACCCTCCACCCCCTCCCCTCAACCCCTCAACTTCATCACCCCCAGGCTGACAATGTCTGCCATCCAGGTGCACCCCTGGTTCAGGACCGGCCTGCCGGAGGGCGCGGGGGTCATGAACACGCTCATACTGCGGGACGACGCCGCCGTCATCCCCCGCCAGTCGCCGGACGAGATCAGGCTGCTCGTCAAGGTGTGTGTGCGTGTGTGTGTGCGTGTGTTTTGCGTGTGTGTGTGTGTGTGTGTTTTGCGCGTGTGTGTGTGTGTGTGTTTGTGTGTTGGGGGGGAGGTGGGGGGCGCGGGCGTCGGCATGGGTGTCGAGGGTGGGGTCTAGGGTGGAGGGGGTTGCAGCGCTGCGAGGGTGCGTGTGCATGGGCGAGGCGTGCGGCGTGGAGAGGCAGCTGGGAGGATGGGAAGCACGGAAAGAAGTGTGGCGGGGGAGATGCAGAGAGATAGAAGGTGGAACGGCACATACAAAGCGTGGCAGCAAACGCGGAGAGAGAGGGCGAGACCACAGAGCGATTGGGTCGGCTTGTGCTAGGCGTGTGCGCCTGCCTTGGGCCGCCGCTACGCCGCATGGCGACCCCGCCGCCGCCCCGCCCGCCCCTCCACCCGCGCAGCAAGCGTCTCATTTGGACCCGATGATGCTGTCGGGGCGGTTCGGCAACGCGCTGAGTCAGCAGCAGCAGCTCGCGATGCAGCAGGAGCTGCAGGCGCAGGAGCAGCAGCAGCTCCAGCAGCAGCAGCTCCAGCAGCAGCAGGAGCAGCAGCGGCAGCAGCAGCAGCAGGAGCAGCACCGGCAACAGCAATTGGGGTACCTATTCAGCCAGCCGCCGCAGCAACAACCGACGGCGTACGCCGCCGCGTCAGACAGCAGCTCCGCGGCCCAGCTGACTCAGCAGCAGCAAATCCGGGAGCAGCAGCAGCAGCGGCAGCAGCAGTGGGCGGCCGGGCCGCCGGCGTCGCAGCCCCCGTGGGCGGCGCCCTCGCCGCCCTCGCAGCAGCAGTGGGGCGCCGGCGAGGGCGCGGCGTGCCTGCCGCCTCACCAGCAGCAGCAGTGGGCTGCGCCTTCTCCGACGAGCCACCAGCAGCAAAGTGTGCAGAGCGTGCAGCAGCACCAGCACCAGCAGCAGCAGCAGCAGCAGCAGCAGTTTCAGCAGCAACAGTGGGGCGGCGCGGCCCCGCAGCAGCCGCAGCAGCAGCCGCAGCAGCAGCCGCCGCCCGCCGCCGGCCCGCCCACCGCGCAGCGCGCCCCCACCGCCGGCGAGCTGGCCGTCGCGCGGCTGCGGACCTCCGACCTGGACAGCTTCATGGGGACGGACGTCCCGATTGACGCGTTTGCGTCGATGTCGTCGCTGCCCCCGATAGACCCCGGGGAGATGGATGCCTTGTTGGCAGAGCTGTGTAGCGA